GCATGACTGCAGTGAAGACTAGGAGGTGGTGTGCAGGGATCTTGCCTCGGGGCCTGATAGAAGAGGAAAAGATCAGAGCGTGTGCACAATGACACGGACGGGCCACAGAAACGTCCCGCTGTGTGGAAGAAGCCGGGCACAGAAAGAACATACTGTGTGTTTCCATTTATATGAAATTCTACAACAGACCAAGTTAACCTACTGGTTTGGTGATAAAAATCAGGCCGTGCGTGTTTCTTTTGGAAGAGGGACTACTAAAAGAAGCCCGGAGGTGGGGGGTGGGAGGGTGGCAGTTCTGGGAGGGGAGAAATATTCTGTGCCTTGATAGAGGGGGAGGTTATATGAGGGTAGGCGTTTGTCAAAACTGATGGAACAACAAGCATTCCAGGGTGTGCAAATTATACCGAATGCAAGGTCAGAGTACAAACTTGCATACGTATATTCATATACATAAAGAAGAATATGCGAAAATAAAAGGGTGTCAGGAGAGGGGAGCTATGGCGATTGCCCTCTCACGTCAAGATTTTAATTGTCATACGTTGTTTTTAAATAAAAAGGATCTCGAAAGCTTCAGATGCCCATAAGTACTGACCAGGCACCCATAAAACACGGAAGGCAGATCATCTATTTTTCCAGAGGGGCCAGCAAAGAGTCTCTGCCATTAAGGAGCTCCTACCTGAGGACGGCAGAAGACATGAGATACAACGAATGCATGAATGGAGGGACCGAGGGCTTCCGGAGCGAAGGCAGCCTCAGGGCTGTGCTGTAAGACGGCCGAGAGGGGGGTTTGGAAGGAGCAAGTGGAAAGTTATTCCAGGATGAGGATGTGGCACAGATAGCAGGACATGCGGGCTGCAGGGCTGGGTAAGCTGAGGCAGTCCAGGCCACGGGTGAGGGAGAGGACAATGGGATGAGGGAGAGGACAGTGGGATGAGGGAGAGGACAGTGGGGTGAGGGAGAGGACAGTGGGGTGAGGGAGAGGACAGTGGGATGAGGGAGAGGACAGTGGGATGAGGGAGAGGACAGTGGGGAGAGGGAGAGGACAGTGGGGAGAGGGAGAGGACAGTGGGATGAGAGAGAGGACAGTGGGATGAGAGAGAGGACAGTGGGAACGTCAGTCAACAGAGCGGAGAGGCAGGTTCTGAAGACGCCACTTGGGCTGCATGCAGCGCTCCTAAGTTTATGAGCAGTTCTTGGTGTACGGGAACCATACCTCCGTTTCCACAGAGAAGGTGAACAAAAATCACCCAGTGGGAGAGACACACCAATGGCCCTCCTTTACTTTGGAGGGAAAGGTGGATGCTTGGACGATGGTGACAGGGGCGGCTCTCTCTTCTGGAGTTCCCATGATGGACCAGGCACGGTGCCAGCCATGGCACATACGTTACCATTTAACTCAAGCTCCCCAACAAGCCAGCAAAGTGCACATTCACTTCATATCCGTGAGGAACTGCCGTCCAAGAAACTAACAAATGAATGGACAAAACCACACCCCAAGCACTTCCACTGTATCCGGCAGGGATCGATCACGTCCCACTCCCCTTTGAGTGTGAAAAAAAGAAAAACAGCCTGTCCTGGAGGGGAGTCTCTTAATATTTTGCCTAATATTCCTTCTTCCAGTGCAGTCTATGATGTCACACAACAGCATATGTGGTTCATTACTGCACAGCTGTAAACTGCATACATCTTAACATCTACTGCGTGCCTACTAGCAGTCAGCACTTGCTGCTAACTATTTCACAGCGTGTTACCTCGTGTAATCCCCATGACCACCCTGGAGGCAGGCAACTGGGACAGGCCCTTCACAGGGGATGAAACAGGACAGAAAACACGTCATGTGACTTGCCCCAGGCCTCCCAGCTACCCAAGAGTTGAACCTGGACAGTCTAACCCAGTGGTTGGCAAACTCAGGAGTCAGCAGAGCCAAATATCAACAGTACAGCGATTGAAATTTCTTTGGAGAGCCAAAGCTTTAAAACTTAAACTTCTAACGCCACTTCTTAAAAAAAAAAAAAAAAAAAAAAACTCATCCAGGCTGTGGTATTGTGGAAGAGCCATACGCAAGGGGCCAAAGAGCCACATGTGGCTTGCAAGCCGCAGTTTGCCGACCACGGGTCTAACCTCTTCACTCTACTGCCTCCAATTTTAAAACTGAGCTTTCAACCTCACCATGGGGTGACCTGTTTCATACTCAGTTCACCTACAAACACGCAGACTGGCAGCTGCGAGAGCATACTTCCCGCCTGCTTCTCCAGAACAACTGGCTGAAGGCTCTTCCCTGCCCCCTCGCAGAGCCAAAAGCCCTTCCCCACATGCTCCGCGCCGTCACCTGAGCCGCTCCGCCTGATTCAGCAGCCCCGGTGACATTCTCCGGGCCCGGCCTTGGGTGACCGGAGGATAGGGACGGGCCAGTGATAGCAGCGGGAAAGGACCGGGGCCGCTGTCTTTTCACCGGGGAAAGCTGAGCACGGTGCCCCGGGAGGCCACTTCCTGTCAGGCTGGGGCCCCGAGCCCATTCACATCAGGAACTGTGCTCTCTGCTAACGGGGCTCAGAGGGCGCCCCATTCAGGCCAGTGAATGAGAGCAGTGTCCCGTCGCCGTCCAGTCTTGGGAGGCGCTGAAATGTGAGCCGGCGGCGAGGCCCATCTCCCCGGCGCTGGGTCAGAGTGAATGAGGCAGATCAGACCATCCTCCGGCCTAATCTCCTCCGCAGCCCTCACATCACCTCCGGCCCAGCCAGAGCAGCCAGGGCTGGTCACAGGGGTGCTCAGAAGCCCAGTAATCATAGGGCAGAGAGCCTGGAGCCTCTGGGAGCGGGTTCCTGGCTGTGCTTTTCGGGATCTGTCCCCCTAGAATGCTCAAGTCTTTGGGGTCCTGATGCCATCTGTCTGAACATTACGTTTCTTTTTTTTAATTTTTTAAAATATATATTTTATTGATTTTTTTACAGAGAGGAAGGGATAGGGACAGAGAGCTAGAAACATCGATGAGAGAGAAACATCGACCAGCTGCCTCCTGCACGCCCCCCACCACTGGGGATGTGCCTGCAACCAAGGTACATGCCCTTGACTGGAATCGAACCCGGGACCCTCCGTCTGCAGGCTGATGCTCTGTCCACTGAGCCACCCCGGTTTTGGCTAAACATTACGTTTCCATACAGAGCCTTCATTCCCACGGCCCGCAATGAGAGCAGGCGTGGAGGGCCCCGGCCAGCTATGGGGACCAGGAGTGGGTGGTGCAGCGCGGGGAAAAGGGAACAGGACGAGGCCTGCAGAGAGGTCTGGAGCCCACACTCTGGCGCCTGAGCCTCCCCGGGGGAGACAGGGGTGTTCGAGTCCAGCAAATGGTGCTGACCGTGTGTTAGCGCCGGTCTCAGCCCAGGAAACATGAGCAGCTTCTCCCGGAGCTGGGTTCTGCTCTGGCCGTTGCCTCTGCACGATGTGCACACATACCTACACATGCGTTATGTGGAGACGCCAGCACGTGTAGAAAACTTCAAAGGGCCCTGACCGGTTTGGCTCAGTGGCTAGAGCATCAGCCTGCGGACCGAAGGGGCCCTGGGTTCCTGTCGGCGGCATGTACCTGGGTTGTGGGCATATCCACAGTGGCGGGGTGTGCAGAAGGCACTGGTCGATGTTTCGCTCTCATCGATATATTTTTTTTTTTTACTGGTATATATTTATCTATATATTTTTAAATATATTTTATTGATTTTCCACAGAGAGGAAAGGGGCGGGATAGAGAGCTAGAAACATCGATGAGAGAGAAACATTGACCAGCTGCCTCTTGCACACTCCTTACCGGGGATGTGCCCGCAACCAATGTACATGCCCTTGACCGGCATCGAACCTGGGACTTTTCAGTCCCCAGACCAACGCTCTATCCACTGAGGCAAACTGGTTTCAGCTGTCATCAATGTTTCTAACTCTCAATCATTCTCCCTTCCTCTCTCTAAAAAATAAATAAAAAAATAAACAAACAAATAAAGTATATTAAAGAAAGAAAACTGCAAAGGGCGAGGAGCTCGCCTCTCGGTGGACATCCCCAGGCCTGGCTGAAGCTAGTGGGTTCCCTGAGGCAGGGGTGCCCACGGCACACAGGGGACCCCGAGGCAGCAGCTCACCCCCACCCGGCGGCTGGGGTGGGGGAGGCAGTACTGTCAGCTGCACGCACCCCAGCCCCGAGGACTCTGCCAGGAGGGACCAGAACAGAACAGAGCCCAGCCGGGAACAGTGGGCCCGGGTGGAGAGCGTGCCAGGCCTCAGAGGCACATGGCTGCCCGTGGACCCGGGTCCTGGTTCACCATCAGCCCCGCCCCACAGGGAGATCAGAAACGGGCCTTCTCCCGACAGGCAGCACCTCCTCTCTTCATACTCACCCCACCCGCTTCCCAGGGAGTGCGATGCCAGCACCGCTATGAGAGCGGGGGTTCTCTCCCCGCCCTTCAGGGTGAAGGAAAGGGGTTCCGAAAATAATAGGACGGAATGATTGCCCAGGAGCCCCCACGGGTACAAAAGAGAGACCCCTCGCCGGCTTGGCTCAGTGGATAAAGCATCAGCCTGCAGACCAAGGGGTCCCAGGTCCGATTCTGGCCAAGGCACATGCCTGGGTTGCAAACTCGATCCCAGTGCAGGAGGCAGCCAATCAATGATTCTCTCATCATCGATATTTCTATTTCTCCTTCTCCCTTCCTCTCTGAAATCAATAAAGATTGCTTTTTTTGTTTTTGGTTTTTGTTTTTTTTAAAGCGTGTGTCCCTGTCTTTGGGAAGAGGAATGCTCTGGTCATCAGAAGCTCTGTGAGGCTTAGTCAGGTCCATGCCAGGAATTCTGCGAACTGCCGGTCACTCTGCCAAGCTTCAGAAGAAACGCCGATGGTTAGGTGTTTGCACGGCGATGCTGGAGAAGGCAGCTACCAGCTGCTGGCAGGCACCCCCAGCCACCACGCGGACGGCAGACCCAACTGGCCAGTAACACGCAACAAGAAGCAAAGCTCTTACCCAGCTCTCCCCGGAGGCTCACGAGTTCTTGCGACAGCGTGTTGTGCTGCTTCAGGGCTTCCTCCCGCTGCGGAAGACAGACATCAGTTACTCTGGCTGTCGGGAGGTCCCCCCGCGGGGCACACACGTGTTAGCACCAGAAAGACGACCCTCAGCGTCCAGAGGCCAAGATGTGAATCGCTTAGGCTAACGGGGTGTGTGCCGTTCAGCAAACAGCTGTCCCTCCGGGTGCAGGAAACCCGAGTTCCCCCAAAACACATCTGTATCTTCTCAGTGTTCACTGGAGGCGCTGAGAATGTTTACTTTTAGCTGCAAAGCCTTTCTCCAGACGCGCACTGCACCAGAGGGAGATGCGATGCAGTCTCCTCCTCCAAGGGCAAGCCTGGCCTAATCAGGTCTGGATAAATATTTGATGTTCCCAGCGTCTGCGCCTGTGTGCACTTTGCCCTGCGTTTGCAAATACCAATAAAAGGAGCTGGGACAGCCCTGGGCTTCTAAAAAGGAAGACACGAAGTTTGTGATAAAGCGGAGGCAAAAAAAGAATCCTCTAGCAAAGGCAGAAATTAAACTGATTTGACTAAGCAAGACACCGTATTTTCTGAAGAGGGTACTATTCTGAATCAGCCTCAGTTCTTAAGGAGATGCTACAGACACACATCAGGGAAAAGCAGGCAGCTGTCTTGGTCGTCACTAAGCAATTTTCAAAAAGAAAAAAAAAGAATTTCCCAGGGACAGCAACTCACAGCCCTCACCCATGCACACACGCTCACACAGACACAGCAATCAGATCCCGTTTCTTACCAGGCAGAACCCCAAACCCAGCTCCCTGAAAATGCCCCCCTAGGAGCAGCCAAGGGGAGCCCCCGCCACCTCTTGATCACAGTGCTGCAGAGATATCAAGACCAACCTTTGCAGGCGGGAGTCATTTAGAGCGTTTCCCCCTCATTCCATACCTCTGCCTCAGTCCCTGCCGCTCCTCCAGAAAAGCACCAGAAACAAATACTAATTACCCTTGTTGCCGCACACGGAGAATAGAAGCACCCTTTGCTGCCGGAGCAGCCCATGTTCCAGCTTCTGTCTCCAATCCCCCCACCCGCCCCCTGCACTGCCCGCCCAGCGCACAGGTGGCCAGGCCACCCACCAGCCGGTCCGGCTACCTCTGAGGCTCTGCCTGCCAGAGGGAGGCAGCTCTGCCTGCCGGGAGGCGGGTCCCCGGTTAGCCTTACTTCTCGTCCTGCAGGTTAGCGGCTGCCTCCGCTGCCGCCCAGCCTCTCCGCACACAGGCTGATGCTGCAGCGAGTGCCTTTGGCACAGGCAGCCTGCCATCACTTAAAGCCACAGCCCTTCATTTACGGAGAGCGAGAGCCAGCCGTCAGCCTGATCGATGGGCACTTACTTAAATCTCCGCCGGTGCGGGGGAGAGAAAGACAGACCTTCCCTGCGTGGATAATGGAGTGATGCTTAGATGGGTGAGCCTGCTCCGCCCCTCCCTCACTGAGGTCATTAGATGGTCACACTGAGAGGGAAGCTTGGTCTCCGATGCCTGGATGTGAACGAGCCTATAACTAGGCGAACAACCACGAAAGAATGTGAGTGTGTGTGTGTGTATGTGTGTTGTGACTTGGAATATAAAATGCCCTTCTACAACAAATGCCGTTGTCTTCCGCAAGCTTGCATGTGAATGCTTAGAACACAGTCCTCTGGTGTTTTAAGGAAAAGGGTGAAATCCTGATTTGAGAGCTGGAGTTACCAACACACCAGCGCAGTCATTTGGATATTGAACAGTGACATTTAAGAAACACTTTCTCACTGAGTCATTTTGGCCTCGATGGTATTCTGAGTGCTTGCTTTGGAAAACGCAGCACTGAGCTCTTCTGAAACCACAGATCAGTTAGTCCAGATTTTAAAAATCAACAAGTAGCCCTAGCTGGTTTGGCTCAGTGGGTAAGAGCGTCAGCCTGTGGACTAAAGGGCCCCGGGATCGATTCTGGTCAAGGGCACATACCCACTTTCTGGACTCGATCCCCAGGGGGCATGCAGGAGGTAGCCAATCAAAGATTCTCTCATCAGTGATGTTTCTATCTCTCTTCCCCCTCTCCCCTCCTCTCTGAAATCAATACAATTATATATTATACTTCTCTTAATCTCATGCCTTCGAGCGAAGCCTTTATTTTGTTCACTTAGTAATCTAGTTCAAGTATCGGCCAAGTTTTGCCACTCAAGTGACAAGGAAATCAGAGGACAGCTTCACTAGATGCAAGCAATCCTGCAGCACATTCAGTCACCCTGCTTATAATTCACTTCTTCCAAGGGTGCCTTGATTGCCAACGGAAAGGAAGTTCCACCACTTTTCAAACCTCCATAAAAAATTAAGTCGGTATGCGATTTCCAGCAGTCACTTTGTGAAGACTCGCACATCCTATCGCAGATCTACACCAGGTGATCGCAGTGCTGATTAAAGGGCCTCTGGGGACAAGGAGCTTCAGTGGCCTGTGTTTCTCCCAGCTCCACCGCACCCACCTTCCTGCCCTCCGCGCCCAGAGCCATGGACACCTTCCAGCCTCGGTCAGCCCCGGGAACAGGAACAGGAAAACCGTGAGGTCATCTTGACTCCTCTTTGTCTACCTGGGTGTGCCCAAGTCAGTTTTTTCCTTCCTGGTGTGCCTTGAATTGCTTTTTCTTCTTAGAGCTACCTCTACCCTCGTCCTGATTCTCGCCCACCCTCCCTGGGCTGTTGGAAGCATCCTTCCACACTACCCTGCAGAGGGCTGCTACATTATCCCAGATTCCTGGCACATCTAAACATGGGGTCTTCCACTGATTTACATAAAAAAAATAAACATCACCCCAATTCCAGGAACCTCAGTCATGCAACTGCTCTTTAGACTCCTGACTCCCCTGTGCAAGGCATGCTTGCCACACATGTCCCACCTACACACTCGGGGATGCCTGGTCTGCTTCACCTGGCCTTCATGCAAACCTTTGAGGAAGGCTACATGTCTCTCACAGACATCTTCCCTCCTCCCCAAATGCCTAGACAGCACATGTATCCTTCTGAGTTGGTTGGAAAATTATTACTCAATATCAACTGACCAAGCACCAGTCCAGGTGCTGGGAAAAATATGAGAGAGCGGAAACCGGTTTGGCTCAGTGGATAGAGCGTCAGCCTGCGGACTGAAAGGTTCAATTAGGGTCAAGGGCATGTATTATACCTTGGTTGCGGGCACATCCCCAGTGGAGGGTGTGCAAGAGGCAGCTGATCAATGATTCTCTCTCATCGATGTTTCTAACTCTTTCTCCCTCTCTCTTCCTCTCTGTAAAAAATCAATAAACTATATTTTTTTAAAATATATGAGAGAAATTTAAGACATAGTCCCTGCCTTCGAGGTGGTTGGCGCGTAGATAGATCTAAAAGGTCCAGGCCCAATTCTCTTATCATGTCTCAAAGCAGATGACCTCATGGGAGAGGAAGCAGTACAGGACAATGGGAAAAACAACGATCCTCTTAAAGTCACAGCCTACATGCTGGCCACAGAGCCCCTACCGTAACAGTCTCACAGTGTTAGCTTCTGCTTATCTCTTCCCGGCAGCTTGCCCTTTAAGACACGTTACCCTGTCCTTCTAGATGACAAAATGTATTTTGTCACTCAGATACTGATTGCCTGTTTCTTCTGATCCAGCTGCTCCCATATCCGTGTTCCTGCCTTAGATCATAAAGTCATTACAGTCCAGATAACAAGATTATCTCATTCCCTTTGTAGCATATAACATGCAGAATTCCATCCAATGTGGGGGGGGGGGGGGGAGAAGAGGGAGGTGGGACTCCAGATAGAAAAATGCTTTCATACTCATATATTAAATATATGAAGTGCTCCAAGAAAAAAAAAATGGATTCACCACAATTTAATTAGGATGATCTGAGCCACAGGCACTTAGCGTCTGGCCAGCATCCCATCAGCAGGCCAGAATTTGCTGGTTGTCCAAGAGCATGCGCAGCTCGGGGGTTTGCAGGAAAGAGCCATACCAGACGGCTGAGGTGTGGGCAATGCCCCACCGCCTCCCCAGTGCCCACGCCATCGTGTCCACTATGTTTTTTGTTCAGAGACTGTTTTATTTACAGTAGACTCTTGGCGTCACTCAAAATTCACCTTTGTTTAGGTGCTACTTTAAGTTAGATTCCTCCTGCAAAAATAGAATTGGAGGCACACTGGATAATCAATGAGAGGTTCGGGGGTGGCCTCGATCCTGCTCAGGCTTACCTAGAAACACACCCACAGACCCTTTTATGAAGAAATTGGGATTGCTACACAACACTGTCCTCCCCGGGGGCAGTTTGCACAGAATGCCGTACAACTATGCAAGGGCAAAGAGAGAATTGGAACGAAAACCCTACTGTGTCCTTTTGAGAAAGAGAAAATGTGGTATCAGTTTCCAGATACATGAGACATTTCTTAGAACTTGCAGTATGTATTGAATTGTGTCTGCCACTAAAGTGGGGAAGTTGCAGTTATTAAATAGACTTACAACAAAACAATAACTTAATGTTTAGTATTCCCTATAATCAATCATTTTTACCCATAATCTAAAGCTCCAAAACCAATTGGAAAAAAGTTAGCAATATCAAGATATAAATGTATATACAAATCAATAAACTTCTACAAGATTTATATGTACAGGTCGGACATATCAATCAATCAATCAATCAATCAATCATCAATCAATCACTTCTATAATGGAAGGTTAAGAGAAAATCATTTTGAAGAAATTGCTTAACTTTTCCCTAGTTATGTCTTTCCTTCTCAACTGTTTTATGACAGTGCTCTTCACTCATTAGTAATCAGTAAATATTTGCTCATCTATATATATAAAAGCCTAAGCTATGACATGCACTGACCACCAGGGGGCAGACATTCAATGCAGGCGCTGCCCCCAGGTGGTCAGTGTGCTCCCACAGCCAACTTCCCACGGCCAGCCAACCTCCCATGGTCCCTCCTCCCAGCTGGCCCCTATCTGCCGGGTCAAGACTGGGCAAGATGGCCCCGATCAGCCCCCATTGCCGGCCAGACCAAGGGACCCGACCTGTGCACGAATTCGTGTACCAGGCCTCTAGTTGATTATAAAGAGCTAGCAAAGAACATATGCATTAAGACTTAATATGTTCAACTCTCATCTGGGATTCCCTCCTCTCTACTCATCCATTTGTACATTCAGATATCCATTGTACATCTATTAGACATAAGGCACTACCACCATAGCTGCTGAGTGGTCTAAGAAAGAGCTAAACACAGATCCTGCTCCCAGTGAGCTTTCTGTCTTAAAAAGCAAGAACACGTGCTAGCTGGTTACCTGTAAGGAAGAGAGCTACAGGTATGTAAGTGCACCTGGAACCCAGACAGTAGGTAGATATAAAACCAAAAGGATCAGAAAAGTCTTCATAAAAGAGGGAGTTTTGAATGGAAGTTTTAGAAATGACATAGGCACTAGGACCTAAATTAGGTATACAATGAAATTCACATCCAGGAGGCAGCTGATTGATGCTTCTCTCTCAACATTGATGTTTCTTATTTCTTTCTCCCTTCCCCTTCCTCTCTGAAAACAATAAAAATATATATTTAAAAAATAATAACAACAGTAAAGTAATAACAATTTTTAAAAAATAACCTGTTAATTTAATTATAAGCAAATCTTGGTTGAAAGCATTTTAAAATTTAACAGGCTGAATCTCAGAGGGAAGGCGAGGATGGGAATGTGGGTAGGGAGAGGTTAACCAAAGAACTTATATGCATATATGCATAACCCATGGACACAGACAATAGTGTGGAGAAGTTGGATGCAGGTTGGAGTGGGTCAATGGGGGGAAAAGGAAGGACATCTCTAATACTTCAAAAATAAAGATAACTTTTAAAAACATTAACATGGTATTAATTTTCACAGATGACATGCGGGCTGGAAATTTTGTCTGATCCAACATCTGATAAATCGAGGTCCACAAAATCAAGGGTTTACTGTACAGTCTGCAGGTTCACATGCGTATCACAGGCAAATATCTTTTCATGATCGATGGTTGGTCTACGAGACTATCTAGAGAAGAAATGTTTCACCCCCAATTTCTAAAGAATGACTTGGGTATCAAGTGAATGGCAAAAGCATAATTGGGTGAATTATATCTGATTTTACCAATCATCAATGTAACGATATTCACAAAACAACCAATGAACACTGCCCTCTTTACCCCCCAAAACACACCCCTGCCATCCTGGCCCCCCACTTCAGGGGGAAAGACTGCCTGGGGGTGGGGGCACATATCCTTACCTCAGATAGTAGGTGCTGAATCACAACTGTTAATGCTTCAAACTTGGCATTCCCGCAGGAAACAAGCTGCTTAAGGTGCAGGATAAATCGACTCTGCTTCTCCGATTTCGTCTTATACTGAGCCAACTCAAGTGTTTTCTCAGAGGAGAGCACATCTGGAGACGTCTGAGTTTGGATACATAAACTTCTGGGAGCCTTCTGTCTGCCGTTTTCAACTGCAAAAGGAATCAATAAGAGATAGTGACATACGTGATTGTGATTTCTAGAATAAGCACCATATGCATTCAGATACGAGAGAAGCCACAGTAATGCATTTTAAGTTGTGTTTACCAAAGGAAAGCATATGAATGAGAACTGGAATCAATCACACGTCTAGATGTTTGGAATTCATGAACATAGACAATGGCTTTCATTGTGACTTTAAAAGCTCTCTGTGGGGCAGAGGAGTTATCTACATGGAACAATCCAGAAGCAAAAAAAAAATTGTGTGCACAATCTTGTTGATTTCATAGCTTCTCATTTCCTAGGTACACTGGTACAGAAACCTGACTGTCACTGTTAGCCTGACTCTCTATTCTGGTCACATATGCTGGAAGAAAAGCACAACTTAATGGACTTTAAAAGCCTTTCCCTCCCCCTACACATTTTTTACGATCTTCCCACCCTTTCCCTGCTGCTAGCCCGGTCATTACAAAGATTTATACTGCAGATGAGTCACTCCCTGGTCTCCAAAGAATCATTGTGTACATTTAAAATCTACTCACATTTTGTCCCTTATCTTTAAAGTCACTGCCAAGAGCGCTGGACTCCTGGCTGTACTATTTCATTTTCTATCAAATACAGGCTTGGCTGGTTTTCCCCGCTTCCAACTAGTAGTAATAGCTACAAGCATCTTTTTGAAAGCACATGTTAATACTCGCCATGCCGAGCGATGACTCACTTTCTGTGCCACGGTATCCTGGGAACTACTCTTGCCTGTTGTAAATGAGAACCTGTTCCGTTTGGGAGCCATTCCCAATGCCTCGGTCACTTTAATATCCAACAGACTGGGAAAGCAGGACCCAAGCTGTTTAGCTTCTTGAGACGAGGAGGCCACGCACTCAAAACAAACCTCAATCTAAACAAATAAAAAAGCTACCAGACAATGTGTCCTTGTCTTCACAGGCATTCACTATGGCACCCACATTCTGTGGTAACCACGGCAATTGTATAAACGAATTATTTTCTCCAATTTTTCAGGGGAAGGAAAATTACACTGATTACTCCAAGGAAAATAAACAAAGAAACCTCGGTTTTCGTGATCCAAGAACCAATGGCCAAAAGCACAGGGGGGTGGGGGGGCGGGGGAAAGGCGTTCAATTTTTTTTTCTATGGCTTCTTTCCATAGTTAAACAACTCGCATCTGTTGTGTTTTCCAATTACTTGAAAAGCGGGGGGGAAAGTGTTTCTCCAGGATTCTTTATTAGTCATCGTTAATAGTTGTCTGTCAATAATCGCTAATTCCCCAGACGGAGAAAGTAACTGAGTTAGCAGCCATCATATTAAAATCCTGAAGGAAGAACAACTTTGTCAAGTCACTATACTAATGAAAAGTAATCTAAATATTTTTAAGTTACGTCAAAACACCTGAGCTTCGTATTCCTTTATTTTGTTTCCTAAAGTGTTCTTAAAAATGTTACTTTTCCTATACAGATAATAATCATTAATAACGTTTTACTGTTCATAGAGCGTCTCACTTTCCTCCCTTTCCATTCTCCCAGGCACCCTTGGTGGGGAAGGTGAGATTCAGAGATGAGGGCCTTGCCCAGGTGTAGACAGGCAGCTTCTATGGGACAGATTCAAGGTCAGGACCTAGGCCTCCGAAGTCAGGTCTCTACTATTCCCATTCATTTTGGAAACTGAATATGGGGTGGAAATGTAATATATTTCATAACTAAACCAAATAGGTATGCAATAATCGTGCTAAGATATTAACACATTCAAGCCCATTATCTGAGAACTCTTCATTTCAATAAACTTACATATAGACATCTGTTTCAAACAGTGTTTTTTGTATTTTATACAAAACCAAAAACAAGGCGACGACAACAAAACCAGGACAGCAATAAACACTTTTAACTCTTTGACTACCCAGAATTTACTGCAATATACGTAGATATATGCCCATGCTCCTAGTTGGTGTCATTGCTATATGTCCTACCAATACTTACTGAAATATTCATTTATTTATTGTTACATGGCTTTAAATTCATCATTTCTTGAATCCTTAACAATGAATGTTTGATTTTCTTTCTACAATTTATATGCTAGTCACTTTTATAATTTAACACAATATCAAAGTTTAAAAACTGTACGGTTATAATTACAAAATCTGAGTGGTAAATCTCTTATATTACCAGTTTTAGAGGAAACATTCTTTAAGTATTCTCATCTACTTAGTCTTTCAGATAAATTTTAGTATTCAATGGTAAGTTTTAGTAGGTTTTTTCATAAGAAAATATGGTTAAAGGTACATTAGCATATTAAACATTGTTTTTCTTAAAAATATATATTTTATTGATTTTTCACAGAGAGGAAGAGAGAGGAATAGAGAGTCAGAAACATTGATGAGCGAGAATCATCAATCAGTTGCCTCTTGCACACCCCCTACTGGGGATGTGCCCGCAACCAAGGTACATGCCCTTGACCGGAATCGAACCCGGAACCTCTCAGTCTGCAGGCCAACGCTCTATCCACTGAGCCAAACCGGTTTCGGCTAAACATTGTTTTTCATACGGAGGTTCAGAATTCGGTACTATCTTTATAGCACCAAATTTTATATTTTCCTGCAAATTATCTCTTATACCAAAGTCAGTCCATAGTGAACTACTTTTTAACCCCACTGTATTATCAAGATTTTTTTTTTTAATTTTAACTTACAACTGTATTGAAAGTATTTGCTAGAGAAGCAGAGGGCACGAGGCTGCTTCAATAAAACCCAAGCTGTCCTTACTAGTTAGTACACCGGCATCTTTTCCCCCAGGCTTCCTGAGTGGCCTGAGAACTGGAATTTCAAGAATGCGGGAAGCCCCTTCATCAGCATTGGCTCCCGAGTGTCCAGCCGTGAAAACCCAAGCATCACGCCCGAAACTCAGACATTGCTCTGCCTCGGGAAGTGATCAAAATCCTCAGATCTGTCCGTCATGCAGCAGGGCTAAATGCTACCTGAGAACCTCATCCAAGCATTTAAAACGATTCTGGTCACGTCTGTCTGCATAATTTCATTTACTCAAATTGATGTTGGAAGACATAAAAGCTTGGTGAGAATCCTTCTCTAACACACCCTAGAATAAACTATTGGATTCACAGCTGGGAAGCCAGAATGTATCCTGTTATGAATCCTACAGGGGAGAAAAATGACATCCATACAGCGGTTTTCACTGCAAACTTGTTGGCAAAGAAACAACACGAATGTCCATAAGTAGGGGATTGGTGTTAAAATTACAGTACATTTATATAGTGGAACACCACAGCTGTGACACAGAACTAAGAACTCCTGTGGTAAATGAAAAAACAACAACAACAACAACAAAAACACATACTAAGGAACAATGTAGATAATATGCCCTATTGTATAGAGATGGAATGTAAGACCGTATTTTATTTTCTTCTTATAAAGGCATAACAAAGCTATTGCATAACACACATAAAAGTACTAACAATGTTTATTTTTCCCAAAAAGAGAACGGGAACCAGACAGATACAAGGCATTCTAATGCATTTTTATACTTTCTAACCATCGGTAAATATTACCTATTTCCACGGTCAGCAAACTGCAACTCACGAGCCACATGCGGCTTTTGGCCCCTTAAATGTGGCTCTTCCACAAAATACCACGGCCTGAGCGAGTCTATTTTGAAGAAGTGGCATTAGAAGAAGTTTAAGTTTTAAAAATTTGGCTCTCCAAAGAAATTTCAATCATTGTACTGTTGATATTTGACTCTTTTGACTAATGAGTTTGCTGACCACTCACCTATTCAAAATGGACAGTGGTTTAAAAGATGGTTAAAATTAATTCTGAGCACTTAAAATCTTTATTTAACAGATAGCTATGGAGACAATATAGTCAATCTCTGTTTCTTCCTTGGGGAATCTAGACAGGATTCTAAATAACGTGAGTTTTATTGTATATGAATACTCAGAATAGACTTACATTTAAGGAGAAAAGAAAACAGATATATTATCCTTCTAAGAGTACATGTCTTCAAAATGGTCACAAAAGAGCCAATAAGCTAACAAGCTACACTCTACACTAGAGCTGGAAAAGCAAGCCATGGCCTCAATCTTCCGCTCCAAACACTGAGCTCCCGAAGGACAAAACTGTACCACGTGGTAGCAGATGACCCAGTTTGAGCATCCTTCTCACCCTCCTCACTCTGAAGATCAGAGATGATGCAAAACTCTCCAGTGATGCTCAAAGCCCCAGCGCTCAAACATGGGGTATTTCATACTACTAACACACAACGGTTTCCCTTAAATCTCAAAGGATTTCATCATGTATAGGAAATGAGCACAATGTGAACCAAACTTTGCCCTTACATTCCATTTACTAGCATATATTATCTCTTTGATAATAAAAGCTGTATTTAAAGGCATAAAATATTCTTATTATACCTATTAACAGGCTATGTTCTGATTTCAAAGGATCAATTTAACCTGAGGCTTTCAAATTAAACGCTAACATCTACAGAGACTCAGATGTCTCTCAACAAGATAATTATCAACAAGATAATTACCACTATTATGTCCCGGCCAATCTTCCCAGGATTCATTCTAATGAAACCGAAACCTTCATCAGGAAAACAAAAGTCCTGCATCAAAGATACATACTTGAAAAACAGCTGGATAACACTGCTTGCTATTTTTATTCTTTCTCCTCAGAAACCTCAAATTTAATAAAAGTTACAACTAGTCTAATGGTCTTATTTATCATCTTCTTAAAGCAGCAGGCAACCATTTTTTTCCCCCAGGCTCACGTCATTCAAACATATAGATCCCCATCTCAAGACTAAACACCTTTTTTGAGAGACATGGACTAACCATCATCACATACTATCTGCGGAGGACACATCCTTCCTAAGGCCAAACAAGCCATTTACAGAATCTGCTGGATTTCTAAATATTAAAGTTGACTTCGAGTCAAGACCTTCCAGGAGAGTGCCTTGGCTTCCATGAA